AAATACGGTATTTGTAAAAATATGGTTTATAATAAAAAGATTACATAAGGTCAATTTCACTTATAAAGTGAAATTTAGCTAAAAGCTAACTTCGTTAGCATAAAGAAGCAATTTGCAATAAAATTATTTTCGAACAAAAATAGTTAATTATAATAAATAATAAGTCGTAACTTTGCAATAATTTTATCATGGCTTTCAGAATAAGATAAAAGTTTCTTTTTTTAAATTAAATTAAAGTTCAAATTTTAATGTATAAAAAATTAACTTCAATTTCAAGTTTATTTTTAAATGTATTATTTAATTTAATTTAATTAAAATAGTTATAATTATTTGAATTTTTATAATTAGTTTTACCTTGTACAGTTAAAATTAAAATATAAATAATTGTAGAATATGGGGAGGGATATACTATAAGTTTAATATTTTAGGAATAAATGTTACAAATAATTATAAAATTTAAATAGAAATAGCTTTTTAAAATTTATGCTACTTAATTTACCTTTCAAATTATCACAATCGCTAGTAAAATCTTTGTTTTTTTCTATTCAAAATTACAAAGTCACTGATAATCGCAGCAGACATAAAACTCGATTGTTAAATATTCTTATCTTATCTTATGTTTATTTAGTATCTAATTTTTTTATTTTCTATTATCTATTTATATTTGCCTAATAAATGATATTTATTTTCTAATGTTCATTTAATTGTCTAATGCTTAAATTTTAAAGAATATTAGCTCTTTTAGAAAGAAACAAAAAGATTTTTAACTTATTAGAAAAAAGTTAAGTGTTAAAAATATAATATGTATACAATTATATAATATAATTGATATTATATTATATCAAAATTATCTTATTTTATTACTTCAAATATATTTTATGATAAATTAACGCAGAGGATATTTACACATGGACAGATCATATTTTTTATTTTATTTTTGACAAGGATCAAAGATAAAACACATATAAATATGAATGTTCAAACTTAATTTACTTATTTAATTTAATTTTAAGTAAAATAATTGTATCATTGAAAATGACCCGATCGACGTCGAAACGTCTGAATTTGTATTAATATATGAATTAAATAATTCGTTAAATTAATTTAGCTCTACGCCCTATTTATATTTTTATATTGTTTTATACATATTGAGCCTTTTTATTATTTTTTATATTTTTTATTACTTTTAACTTTATTATTTAACTTCTAATCCTTTTTACTTAAATAAAACTTAAAAAAAACAATTGTTACTACTCTACCTTGGTGGCTTATTTATACATACACATATAATACGCACAATGTTACAAAAGATAGACGCTGAAAATTTGTATTAGCAGTATAAACTGTTCTCAAACAAATGTTGACAAGATGAAAAAAATTTATGTCCTTTATGTTGACACGAAGGATATAAATTCTGATTAAAATAAATTTATATAAAATATATATTATTATTACGTATATTAGCACAAACATTAATATGTCATACAAGTCGTTCATAAGATAGCATTTATGATGTAATATTTTTAGTTTTAAAATATTAAATTCTAAAGAGACAAGATCACATACGTTTAAGACATTTTCATAATTTATTTTAAAGAATTCCTCACTAATTATATAATAGAAAATTGTAGGATATCAGTAAATTGAATTAGTTTTAGCATATGATATATATCTTAATTTCATAAATAAAAAATATATGTTACAGTATCAATAATGGACATTTTTTAAACTATAATGTAGCAAAAGTGTGAAACGACTTGTATTTTATAGTACTTTATACTACACTTTACAACTATTTATAAAGTTTCGATATATTCTGAAAATTCTACGTGTGTCTCATTCAACTCTATCTCGTTTTTTAAATTATTTTTAAAAAACAAACAGTATTGATATGTAGAATACGGTTACTTCGATGTTTTTGTTTTTGCAGACTTCATCTTGAATCAACAACGGGACGTGATAGAGACACTATTGAAGATCACTTACATTAAGTTTTCAAATATTTTTCAATTAATGCATTTATATGATTATCCCGCGCGAACTATAGAACATGTTTCAGGCAATCAAGATCTCTCAGATGCAGTAACGCATCAGCTAACATTTTGGATATTTCATCTCCGCCGATGTATCTCTGTCTGTTTACACTTTCCAAAGGACCAAAATTTTTTATTTCTCGTACTAGTAATTCTGAATCGATATGTCCTAGTAATATCGGTACAAAGATGCTCATAAGAATGAAACCGAACACAGCACCTCTCCTAAAATCGTCCAACAAAGCGTCGTACGAATATTTCTCAACGTCTTGAATGCCAGCGTCCAACAGGTACTCCTTCAGCGCGTCATGATATAGGCTCGCATAATCTCGGAAAATTTGTTTCTCCTTATTTCATTTGAACAACATAGGTAAAGATACGTAGAAAGATCAACGACTGGCGTCGAGTATCTAATTAGCGCGAAATCAATCAGCATTGGGCGATATTGTCCATTGTCTTCTGTGTTGAAGAGAATATTGCTTATTGTAAAATCACCATGACACAACGTGGCCAAAGGTTCAAGCGGTTCCACCGTCTTTATCATCACTTTGTCAAACGCGTTCGACAGAAACGCTTCCATTTTATTACAGAAAATTTCATCGTGGCCCTGACTGCGAAGATATTCCACCGCTCGTAACGCCTTAATGTTGCAGGCAAATTTATATATATTATCCGTAAATCTCTTTGTGTATCTAACTTCTTGAATTTGTTCCACGATGTCGAAGAACTTATCCGGCTGCAACTGCTTCATGACGTATCCTTTGCCATGAAATCTTCCCAGCTCGCGCATTGCTGCTAATGTGTATTCCATTGGAGGATCGTATGCACATGAACAAGCATAATATCCTCGTTTATTAACATTTTCTAAAGCGATCACATAACCGAGAGGTGGCTGTTCTTCAACGTAGAAGCATTTCGCATAGATTTCATCCGGTCGGGTGAACATTCGATAAAACAGGATCTCATTGTGAAATTGAAAATCGGTACGATTTATCTGGTTAAGGCCTGGCATTGGTCTTTTCAGTATTATAGACAATTCCTCGTTTTGTCTATTTGTCTTATTTTCAAACTGCAAACGTATACGATACACGATGGATGCAATAAAAATGCCGGTACAGTCGAATAATTTGTACCGAGCATTACCAACGTCCATTCCAAGATTCTTGATGATTTTCGACATCACTTCGTCGAGCCATTTTTGGAAATTCTCATGAGACATTTTATTTGATTACGCGATTTGCGTGTCCCAAAAAACAATGAAATATACAAAATAATAAAGTATATTATGCCAACACTATAATTGAAGATGCTGACACAAAAGGATTCTTTTAGTTCCACGCGCGATGACTTCCAGGATCAATTAAAGTGATCCTTTTTATTATTAATAAAATTTTATTTTGTATACGTTTTGCATTTTTTAAAATAATATGTATATTATTATAATAAATCAATAAATGTTTATGTAGAATAGAATTTATTTCACTTTCAATATATTTAAACGTTATGTATAATACTCGCGTTATCGACCAACCGACTGACTATAAACGACTGAGTAATTGACTGAGCTCTCTTTATATACATTTTCCTTCCTAATTTTATATCTGCTGGCTGCTCACGGTGGTAGAATACCGTGATAGAGCTATAATTCCTCAACATTTTTTAGAGAACTGTACCGATTGTAATTCTCGGCAGAAGATAAAAAAAAAGTGTCATCTGATAATCAGATTTCATTATCTGTTATTTTACAATACTAAGTAATCTGATCGTTATAATTCTTATTTTACTATCACCAGTCATCGTCTTTCTGCAGACACACGGAGAAAAATAATTTTGCTATGAATGCAAAAAATTTGGCTATAATTGCAAAATTTAATTAAGGAGATAGACGAACTCAAGACCTAATTACAAAATCTTGATTTTGATAAAAATTTAAATAACTTGTTACTTTTTTATTATACAAGAAATGGGAACAGTATTAAATGTATTGTATAGATATATAATACATTTATGTATAATAAGTTATTTGTTATTATATTTCTCTATTATGATCAATATTGACAATATTTAAAAAGCTACTTGTGTGCAATTAAAAAAATGCATTTAGTCCCTTTCTTCGAATATTGATAGTATTGTAGGAATCAATAGAAAGAAAAGATTATAAACTATATAAAGAAATGTTTTTTATTTTCTCATATTTTTCTAGAAGAAATACAAAATGAATATAAAGTGCATTTTACTTTTATACTTGTATAAAATAAATTGAAATAATCTATTCAATCATCTGATAATTGTTTATTTGGAAAATAAGATTTTTTAACTCTAATGTTGTACAGCAAATAACACATTATTGTTGTGATTTTTTCACGTAAATTAAGAAAGAAGGCAATATCGCCTGGCTTATTATAGCACCGAGACGCTATACTGCGTGTCTCCAGATTGGTGGAACTTGGTCTAAATTATTCAGGACCTAACTCAAGTTTTTATAATGTTATTTATATAATGTACACTTTTATACAGTATTATGTAAATTACTTATACAATCTCTATTGAAATGGTAAAATCTTCTGTAATTTATATCCTTGCAATAAATATTTGATATTTATATTCGTTAGCTGCGAACGTAACAAATTATTAAAATTAACTCTGTTATCAATTTTATAAATTACAATACATATATATCTGATAGAAAGTTTTTCTCTCTATTATTCCCTTTGTTTTCTCCTCCCCCTATGAAAAATATAATAATATCCCTCACATGTCGCCTACATACGCAACTGAATCTTGAAACAAAAAGAATAAATAGCGTCTGCTATCTTCGCTTCACTGCGCATGTCCCAAAATCTTCCGACTTCCGATACTGAAGCCCGCTTGACCGTTGCGCAATCTGTGTTGGTTCGTCGTTAGTATACAGAGCGGTATGAGTTTGCGGAGCAGTGTTAGAAAAAGTCGCAAAAGATTTTTACGAACATGGTCGGCCTACTCTTCCACGTGCTGTACTTGCTGGGCAAATGCATATACGATAGATATCGCTTCAGAAAACCGACAGTCTTGCCTGATGTCGCGTATGAAGAAGAATTGTTCAAGCGCGATTACGATTACGATGCGTTCGACGATGATTCGGAATTGGAAGATACGTTGTGGTGGTCGCACCGCAGGACCATAGGCTGCTTTTATCCACCGGCATACGTACAGAGATACGGTGCGGTGATGAATGTGCTTAATGATTACAAAGGAAAATTGTGGAAGGTATCGCTATATCTTGTATATCTTCTTATAACCACGTAAATTACATGTGTTGCTAACAACACTACTCGCAATCTGTGTATAGTTGTTATTCCGCTCGTTTTTTTTTAAGCTGAACTTGTTGCATGATTTGTCTTTTCTCTTTTTCTTCCTAATGTGGAGAGAAAAGAAAGAAACATGAACCATGCAAAAACTTTAGCTGAAAAGAACAGATCCGTATTGTGAAGTATTTGATTAAATTCCAATCGCCTGTTTTGTGTAAGGATAGAATACTATACCTTTAAATGTCTTGTTTATTTTAAATACAACATATATTGTTTTAAAATATAAAATTATGTTAATTCCCATAACCTCTTTCATTTATTATACTTTAAAATTTTTTTCACAGATTGTTGACTATGGATGCAGCGAGCTAGGTTTATTGGTATACTTGAAAACAATACCAGAAGTGGAACAGATACTTTGTGTAGATGTGGACAGAGAAGTTTTAGAAAGATACAAGGAAAAAGCGGCACCATTAACCACAGAAATGCTGTCCACTCGACAAAGGAAACTTACAATAGAGATTTGTGAAGGCAGTGTAACAGACAATGACACAAAATTAAAGCATGCAAATGCTGTAATTTGCATTGAATTGTATGTTCTTATATTGTGTGAACATTATTATAAAAATTATTTATATATATCTGTTACTTTAGAAGAATGTTTTTTAATTATAGGATTGAACATTTATATCCAGATACATTAATGAATCTTCCTTTTAATATTTTTGGCTATATTAAACCAGAAGTAGTAATAATAACAACACCAAATGTGGAGTTTAATGTAGTATTTCCAAATTTATCAGGTTACAGACATCCAGATCATAAGTTTGAATGGACAAGGGAACAATTTCAAGACTGGTAAATTGTGTAAAAAAAAAGTTTGCAAATTTATATATACTTTAAGAAAATTTAATTTTTATCATTATTTTGTTAACAGGGCACAAAATATTGTGGTAAGGTATCCATATTATAGCGTGACGTTTCACGAAATTTGTAATGGACCTGAAGGCACTGAGGAAATAGGTCCATTAACACAGATGGCAGTGTTTCATCGAACTTTACCAAGAAAAGAATCGAGACTAGAAATTCTAATTCCAGATGAATATATTCAGTTAAAAGGTCAACACTCATTATTCAATACAGTAGCTACATATGAGTACTCTACAGGACATGATATTCGTTCAGACGAACAAAAAATACTGGATGAAGCGACGTATTACATCAATTATTTATCCTACAATGTACATAATGAAGATGAACCCAGGAGTTATGAAATAAACTTGGAGCGTATATTGTACTTCATGACTAAGTACACCATCTCGATGGAAACACTGAGGTCGATTCTAATAGATGCGGGATGGAGCATTGCAGATCGAGAAAATGGACCAGTAGTACTCAATCCTTCCGTGGATTCTTATGACGAAATGTCTAGCTTTGAAGACGATATGGAGAATGACTGGAACAATGAATATGAAGATTTTGAAGATTCTGATTTTACAAATGTGGAAAACATATGGGATTATACAACTGGACCACCCATAAATGAAACGGGTGTAAACGAAAACGAAAGATATTCATCCGAAGAAAATTTATATATTGAAAATTTGTATGAAGAATCTAGTATTACAAACGAGGAAGATAGATGGGATTATGTAACTAATCCAGTCATAAATGAGATATCTGCAGATGCAAATGAAGAATATTTATCTGAACAAAATTTGCATACTCCGATTTTGCATGACAGTCCCAATGTTACACATGAGGGTGAATGGGATTATGGATCTGGCATAAATGAGACATCTGCGTATGTAGATGAAGAATATTCATGTACTCAAAATCTTCATACTGAACTACGTAATTTTACAAATGTAACAAACGCGATGAATAGAAGGGACTGTGAATTTGATGATCCATATATAAATCAATTATCGGATACAAGTGAAGAATATTTACTTGCGCAAAATCCTCATATTGAAAATTGGCACGAAGAACCTAGTATTATTATCCCTGAAAATTACTCTATTAATCAAGAGAATACTTATTTATTTGATGGCGAAAATTATTTAGCAGAAGAATCTCAACTGTTACAAGAGCTATATACAACTAATGACGATATTAAACAATCAGAAGTTAGAAATGCAGAATCTTTAGTGTATACTGAACAAGAATTACCAAGTGATTCAGTTCCTCTAATTTCAAATGAAGTAGAAATGAAAGTTCGAGTAACTGCTTCTAATATATCTGCAGCAGCACTTAATAACAGTTTGACATCAGAAACTTCAGTTAACGATGTAGCAGTAGAATCAGCTTTATTACAAAGTGATCAAATAAATCTAAGAACTATGGAAAGAGTTACTTCAATGTCAAATTTTCCATCGCGTATGTCTGTTGTACGTTCATCGACATCGCCAACACTTTACTTCAGTTCTGAGATGAACGACTCTTTGCAAGATTTTAGTACATGTTATCAAACTGAATCATCAATCAATAATCAATGTTTATTAAATAGTACTTTTTATCAATCTGAAATGGCAACTGCAGCAGCTACGAATACAGAAGATTCGACTTTGAATGTAGAAGATATACCTTGTTTTAAAGAAAGTCTTCCAAAGAGAAATACACAAGACAAAATTAATTTTTCATTACATACTCCAGATAAAAATCAAATTTATGAAGATAATGATATGACAAATATGATGTCATCAGATGTTTCTAGTTTTAATAATAAACCAAAATATACAAGTTCACCTCATACAAAAATACCCACTACTCATATTGTTACTAAAAGTTTGAAATACAGAGAATTAATACCTGCAATGAATAGTAATGTTTTGCTGGACACAGAAGAAATTAAGGAAATTATATCAGATACCGATAGTATTTTATCAAAATCTAGTCAAGAGTCTAATAGTAGTGTCACAGAAACAATTAAACTACATACAACTTCTTCGAGCAGTGATTTTACAGATACTTTAAGACACGACATAGGCTTTTCTGCTACTAATAGCACACAGCAAAACTTGTGTTTAGAAAATAAGGAATTTAGTGATGTTGATAATTTTATCTCTATGGAATTAATACAAGGTACTAATAATAAAGAATTCACGGAAAATAGTATCAATGATGAATCTAGTGTGAACAATATACAAAATGCAGATGCATCCCATGGCTTATCATTAGGCAATGAGAGTATTAATCATAAAGATAAGAGTGTACATTGTACATTAGCAAAAACAGATGTAACAAAAGCACACTTAGAAAATGTGATTAGTGACCTTGCACAGTCAAGTAAACAGAAAAAGGATTTAAATCCGCCTACAGAGTTATTAAGTTCCAAGTCACAGAGTGTTAGCAAATACTCTTCAACTGATTGTGCCAAAGAATTTAGTATTTTAAGAAATGATAAGTTTGTTCCTTGTAAAAGTAGTGAAGATACAAATAATATTTTCACGTCAGTATTGAAAAATGAAGAGATTGTTAGTACAAGTAAAGATGTATCAAATGTTGCTGGAGTGAATAATGTTGAAGTTAAGTCATTTTCTCCACTTGAAACACCTCCGAACAGCTGGTCTCCCGAGATCATGGACTCTGGTTATCCAAATTCTGTTTCCGCTCAAGATATAACACCAGAATATGAGTTACCTAGCATAGCTCAGGATTATATACCAGATTCCGAATCGCCAAGTATTGCGGAAGCGCCAAGACTTGGTGTCTTGGAACCGATTGAGGTGGAAAACGGCGATTTGGCAAATAATAACAGAGATGATGAAGGTAATAATATGATGGCTGTGGATGCTGATGATATTGAAAATTTACAACCACTGATTGACGTACTGGAAAACGATCTGGAGAACGAAAACGATATTTACGTAGTGCAGAACGGTTTTCCTATATGGTTACTGAGGATATTGGATATGGCAAATCCACTTGATTTTGATATTCAAGCTCGACAAAATCTGAGAATTCCTGATGAAGCTGCGGGTAATTATATCTTCCTGTCTTCTTCATACTGTCTGCAATTTTGAAAATAATGTACTTATAATATTTTTATATTTTTAGGCGACGTTAACTATGTAGGTCAGGATGAAGGTTTTGATAGCAGTTCTTCAGAAAGTGAGAGTGACGTAGCTTATAATGAAATGGAAAATGATAAATGAACATGGTAAATAAAAAGATTTTTCTTAAAGAGAAAAAGAAAGAAAAAGAGGAAGTAAAACATGAGCGTGGTATAATAGCAGCATTAAAGTATTATCTTACATATCATTCTTCGATGCTCCTAACAAGTTGCAGTACAGATTTGAAAAGTAAATATCTTAGAAAATATTCTTGCGTTTCCCATGTAAAAAATCTGTTTTAAAACAGCTTGGATAACAATAAGTTTTTTTATTTATTAAAATTAAACTAATAAATAACTACCTCTTTCTATATATTTTAACATAATATTTTATTAAATATTTCAAGCCTATGCAATGTTTTATGAAACAAAGCATCTAGGACTATATTCCAAAACGTCCTCTTCGAGGAAATTTTATTCAATATAAAACAGTATACGTTATATCTGTTATATATTTCGAATAAAATTTTCCTCGAAGAGGACGTTTTGAAATAAAGCCGGTCTTAAATATTAGATAGATACGTTATATTTCAAGTATAATATTTCTTTTTATTTTGTGTATTAAATGTATTTTCTATGATATTCTCTTTTATTTGAATAACTGCAAGAATTTTTCATTCCTGTATTATAAAAATATATTAAAATCAATGAGCTTTTCTCTATTATTATAAATATGAAATATTCTTGTTATTATTCAAATTATTACGCGATATCTGTCTTAACATCTTATACATACACGTATATAATAATTGTACATGTATGTATGTTTTGTATATGTACATGGATACATACATGCACGTGCACATGTATTGTATATACATATATAATACAAGAAGATTATACATGTACATAGTGTATATTCACATATCGATTTGTATGGGTTTATATGTATATATACATATACAATATATATATATATACATATATACGTATATTTTCGTACTATTTTATGAATTTTTTTCATTATTTGTTAAATATTTCTAATATAATACGTACTTCAGTCTTCAATGTGATTTATGAAAATTATCAATATGTTAAGTTTTGATAGAGTGTAACATATATCTATGTGATATCTGGTAGATCAATAGCAAACGTGATAACTAATATTAAATTAATTTTTGTAATTGTTTGATAATTTCGTTAAAACTTCCTACCTAAGACTGAAACTACATAGTTAAGTTCGCAGTGATGCAAAAACTTTGGACAAATAAAATCGATATAAAATTTGAACAAATGTCATGTTCTCAATATATTTTATCCTAATACAGGTAAACACGTACACATTATATGGCATAAAAGTTACGAGCTTCTTAATATTAAATATTGTACATGGAAACGTGATATCTTTCTTTATTTCAGTGGAATGAAATTACAGAGTATACAATGATTCATACGTAATTAGCCTAAGACTTTACATGATTCTGTTAGTTAGACGATTTTGACTGTTGTGTTTTTAGTATTTACAGAAATAAAGTCTTCCATTTTTTTCAATACAAGCGGTTATTCGCTATAGTATAAATCAAACGTGACCATAAACTTTGCTTGAAATCGTGTTCATATTACTCGTTAATAAAAAAAATTTACTAAATTTAGTTTAATAAAGAAATAAAATAGAGTAAAAAAAAAGTGCATCGACTCTGCCAGTAAATTTCATAATATAACTTAATCACACAAATATGCTTTAATTTTACATATTTGCAGTTTTAATATTTTTTTGCATATATATACAGGGTGTAACTAAATTATCGCACTTGGAGTATACCATGAGATACAGGATGAGAATCTAAGTAAAAAAGTCCTGAGTCATTTTTTGATACGAGCTTTTAGTATCAATTCTTCCTTGTAAATCTGTATAAATAAATATATTACATTTATATATAAGTAAATGGCACGACTTACGAAGCTAAGTTTTATAGTCAAGAATGTGCTATAAGTGTATAGCAAATTTATTGTTGAAACATCTTATAATACTAGACAAAATTACACATCAATGGAATTGCATTTTTAAGTAGTGCCTTAATACCATAATCTATGGCTTTTAGTAACGTTCGTCTTGCTAAAAATTTTATCAAAACAAAGTGCAAATTATGTAACTAAACAGTATTATAAATATCTCGCAACTACTACGTAATTTACACGTGTATCTATTCTGCTACATTTTTATGATTAATGTCCCATGGTAAAATGGGAAATTAAAATATACGTTTCGCGTGTTTATCAGTGTGACAAAAGTATATATAAAACTAAAATATATCGAATCTAACATATAGAATTAGTAGAATTATTGGAATATTGTACAGTAGAACTGTCAACACTATACATATATATATATATATATATATATATATATATATAATTTTCAATTACACAAATTGAATTGAAGTCATTGCAGAATATGACAGACTTAATAATAAAGATACATGGAAGAAAACGTATTCGCACTACTTTGGAATGTTATATTAATTCAGATAAAATCAAACAATAAAAAATTAATTAATAGAAAAGTAAATAAAACAACTACCTCTGTTATGTAAATTCTGATTTTCGTCATCACGCATTTGTTGAGTAGAATTGTCATGACTATTGTTACTCAAAAATTACTGTATGTATAGGTAAAAGTCTCTATAGCATTTTCTCCCTTTCATGCTTAGACTAGTTTCATACAAAACGGTGGCATATGTACTTACTCTTATTTTTTATTATTTTAAATAATTTATCGTGTTTACGTACATAATGTAATTCTCTTTCGGTTGTTCTTCGTTAGTAATCGGCGTGGTGTTATGTAAATTTTATATCGAGCACAGTATTGCCTTTACATATATCGATATACGTCAAATGAAAGGAAGAAAAAAGAATAAACATAAAAAATAATATAGCTATAAGCGTTTATACGCGTGTCGAAAAAAAAGAAAAAATCACAGAAACAAATCTACTTTTAAAACATAACAAAATTTATAAAAATAATTTTCAATATAATATCAGCTGTTATGTAAATGAGGCTGCCTGATCAAAAGCACTTGATACGCAGTTCAATTAGGGAGCGTGACAAAGAATACATCAAGTTAACAAATAACAGTATATCAAGTACATTAAATAACTACGAACATACGTCATGTTCACATATTCATGCCCGGCGCATGACTCCGAGACGTACGTATGTATTTTCCTCCTAATGGCATTTTGTCTGCATAGCAAAAATATGAAAATATGATTTATCAAATATTAGAATATTGTTCATAAACATACACAGGAAGGTTATTAAAGTCATGTCATAAAAGTAGGTTGCAATAGATTGCATATAACAATCGCTTCAAAGTCACATTGATATAAAAGATTCTTTTATATCATGTGATGATATGTCTTCTATCTTATCTGTTTAAAAAAATATTTTATGGTTGACATATATTTTACTCGTTGATAAACATTTTATTCGTCAACAAATGTCTCTGCTTCATATCCATGCAACTATGTAGCAACTGCTTTGTGTAATTTATTACATCCAACTTCCATATTCATTTTACTTTAAATGTGTCATTTTAAGAAGTACTATATTTTGTACTTACTGCATCACACAACTTCCTTGAGACTATCGCGCGTTTCACGGCTACGAGAATGAATCAGATGGTGCAAATCACCTCCAGGTGCACTGTCACGTCTCAGATCTCTCATTGCAGTTGGAGCTATCGCTTCTCTCTTGTTTGCCGCTTCTTTTATGCTGGACAAGGTTTTGCTGAGCCATGGCCAACTATTCCGCGCGGCTTGCAGCTCCGAAGCGGTGGCGTGCAACTCATGTGTTAGATACTGTCAAATGATTTGCGTTAGATTCTATACTTAAATCTCCGAAAGAATGCAAAGAATTAGCTATCCAAAATGTGTCCTTATTGCCTACCTGATTCCTGCATTCGGCCTCAACATGCGCTAATTTCGTCTGCGCTAACTCTAGCTCCAACTCACGAACTCTTTCCTGCACCCTGTGAAGCATGGGATCTATTCGGTTCTCCAAAGGATGTGCGATATCCGCCAATATATTTGATGAGTCCATTATACATGTTCTACATTTTTCGCATTTCGAAACCTTTGCCTGAAAAATATCGTTATTAGAGTCTGATAAACTATTAACGCTATAAAAATTAAACCAGAGATTACACACCCGTAACTCGCTCAATGTGGTTTTCGCAGCGTTGTAATCGTCCTCCAAACGCTGGCAGATCTGGAAGGTGTCAATGTCTTTACAGCTCTCTGTAATATTTAAAATCACACCATGTACGATATCTTATAAATACCTGCTTATATTCGGCTATAATAACATTGCTTCTGCGGCTTTCAGCGTCTGCTCGAGCTACTTCACGCTGTAACATCTCCTTAATTTGCAGCAGTTCTGCCTCCAATCTTTGCTTTTCTTCTTCATTTCTGGCCACTGTACCGCGTAATTGCTCCACTTCGTTACTGTATTCATCAGCATTTTCCTGTGCCACTACACGAGGAATAAACAATTCTTATTTAGATAAGAGATTAATACATTAGACAATTAAATTATGTTTATTACGTCGGGATTTTTTTTATGTTTATTTTTTCTCGTGTAATTATAAGTTTATAGCTATAAATTCCTAAAATTCGCTCCAAATGCATAATTGTATATTATACAATGTTATAAAAATGATAAATTATAAAATTATTTTAGAAATTTTATTTGTTTGCATAAGTTATATTTTTTGCTATAAAAATTTTATGTATTTTATCAGTCATGTTTGATATCGCTACATGGTATCACAAACGTTTTATTTTTAATTGCACACGTTTCTTCTAAAGAAATTTGATAACACAATCGCAACACGGAGTAATTTCTGATCATTGCAGATGTAAGCACACTTCTCACTCTTACTCTTCATTAGTTCTTGCGTTGCATGGCTCATATTTGCGCCACCGATACGTTAAAAACAGATGGTCCGAACGTAACTGACAGATATCGCGTTAATACGAACGGCTGACTATATACTATAGGAAATGTACTACGGCCAAATTTAAACCGCTGATATAGCTGATATTGGATATCTTTATCTTGCCATATCTCAAGTGACAATGTTGACAGCCGAAATTTCCACGCACACTTCGCGATTTCGTTACATTTTGAA